GCAATGTACTGATGTTCTGTAGCCCTTTACTGAGGGCCTCATGTCACAGGAGGGGAAGGAGAGCAGTTCTGTGGCTCCATACTTCCACCCAAGCCTAAATAGAAGTGAGCCAGGTTAAATGAAGGTCAACGATGCTCCTTCTGGTCCTCTCAGGGGCTGGCAGTCTCATGACATTTTCTGGGGAGCCATTATGCTGTCCAAAGTCGAGGTAGCTCAGAGGCCTTCAGGCCGCTGATACTTCCAGAAGGCTACCTCCCCATCATCACTGCAGGAGGCCAGCAACCCTGGCTCCTTGGGGTTCCAGGCCACACAGTTGACATCTTGGGAATGGGCCTGATGCAAGTGGGCTGTCAGGGAGAAGGTGGGCTGCTGTGGATCTGAGTTGGGATCCTCCTCAAACACACGGATTGCATCATCCCCACAAGCTGTAGCCAGGGCCCCTGTCAGCTGACACCTGGAAGGAAAGTGACATCAGTGGGTATACCTGACTGATTAGGCAGGCGATACTTGTTCCATAGTTCCTGGCCTGTTCTCTTTCCTAACTTCAGGCCTCAGCTAAAAACCTCCTCTTAAAATGTTTCCCTAACTAATAAGGAGTCACAAATATTACCCACTTACATCTTCAGATGCTGCCATCTAGTTTTTCTCCTACTATGATTACCCTAAAAAACTACATGCAGTTATGAACTGTACTTTTCTCACTTGGCATAAGCAGTTTCCCATGTCATAAAGTATTTTTTTTTTTTTTTTGAGATGGAGTCTTGCCCTGTCGCCCAGGCTAGAGTGCAGTGGCGTGATCTCTGCTCACTGCAACCTCCACCTCCCAGGTTCAAGTGATTTTCCTGCCTCAGCCTCCCAAGTAGCTGGGACTACAGTTGTGTGCCACCATGCCCCACTAATTTTTGTATTTTCAGTACAGACAGGGTTTCACCATGTTGGCCAGGCTGGTCTCGAACGCCCGACCTCAAGTGATCCACCTGCCGCTGGGATTAAAGGCATGAGCCACTTTGCTCAGCCAAAATAAAGTATTTTTAACCCCTTTCTTTTCTTTTTTTTTAAGACAGGGTTTCTCCATGTTGGTCAGGCTGGTCTCGAGCTCCCTACCTCAGGTGATCCACCCGCCTTGGCCTCCCAAAATGCTGGGATTACAGGCATCAGCCACCGTGCCCAGCCTCTTAACCCCTTTCTTTAAACAGTGATATGACAAGCTGAGTTCTATCGTAATTTGCTGAAGTTCACTTTCGTTGAATAGGTGATTCCCAAATGCTAATATAAAGCAAGCTTGAGTCCTTATCAGTTTGTTTTTTCACTGTTTTGGATTATTTCCTAGGGATCAATTCTCAGGGCCAGAACTACCCTCTGACCTACTCTCCTGTATAAATGGTGCAGCTTTCCCAGCTTCCAAAGGACAAGAGTCAGTGTTACCAAGCCATAAAAACCCCAGCCATGAATGCAGATTCAATAACAACTTCTGGACAGCACAAGCTGTGTGAACCCTGAGAACTGGTGCTGTCCTCACAGCCTGGAATTGTTTCTTGCTCCCGTGAATGCCAGCCCAACCAGCTGTAAACCAGCATGGTAGAGTCAGGGCTGATAAGGAATGGGGATGGCTGCCCTCAATTCCCAAGCACCCCCCAAGGTTGCAGAGGGCTGCATGGGTCATGCCTTCTCTGAAATCTCTGCTTTATGGGGATGGGATGGGGGTGGGGGATAGAGTCTTACCAAGCAATATCATAAATAGTCCTTGAGTGGAAGCCCGACAAAGTACAGACACATTTCCAATTGGGGTCAGAGCCACTGCATGCCACCCCTGCAAGACAGACTTCTCTTAAACTTAAGACGTTCCTATGTCCTAGGCACCTCAAAGAACCTAACTTACCTTCCCTCACCCTCATCTTCAACTGATTATGAGTCCACATCTCCATTCCTGTCCCCATCCTCGCTGATCTATCTTACACACTATGGCCGGACTGGCCTTTCTCAAGCAGAATTCTGAGAAGGAAATGTCCCTGTTCTGTTGCAGACTATATGTAACTACTTAAGTCTGCCTGTGAAGGCCACCCACCAGCTGACTCACCCACTTTATTCCTCTTCAAACCCTAGATATCCTATGCCCCATTTAAATGAATTACCACTCCTCACATCAGTCTAGGCATTTCCACCACTGTTACGTTTACTCACAGTGTTTTCACTTGGAATTCTCAAGTGAAATTATCATGTTAAAATTTTATATACCCTCTTAAATGCAGATTAAACGGCCCCTGTTCCACAAAGCTTTCCCAAATCTTCCAGCACTCCATCCAGAGCCCTCTTGTGGTACATCTTACCTTTTACCCTGATTTGCTCTGACTCATATATGTGTCTTAGCAGACTGTGAATCCCTTGAGAGACGGGTCGTCTTTAGCTCTACTAATGGACCCTCACCTTGTTCATTGCCTGGTGGATACTGGCGCCAGATGCGCACAGTACGGTCATCACTGCAAGATGCCAGGCGCTGGCCACTGGGGTCAAAGGCCAAGCTCCACACAGTGGATTCGTGGCCCTCGAGGGTGGCACAGCATACCCAGTCATCCTCTTCCTCCCGGTACAGCTTCACTGTGTCATCATAGCTGGCAGAGGCTAAGAGCTGGGGGAAGAGGGAAAGGAGACCCAACATGTGTCTATGTGCCCCAGGAAGTGCAGGACAGGTCAGTCCCAGGGATCTGCTTTTATTTTTATTTATTTATTTATTTTTCTTGAGATAAGAGTTTCGCTCCTGTTGCTCACGTTAGAGTGCAGTGGCACAATCTTGGCTCACCCGCAACCTCTGTCTCCTGGGTTCAAACGATTCTCCTGCCTCAGCCTCCTGAGCAGCTGGGACTACGGGTACCCACCACCACGTCCTGCTAATTTTGTATTTTTAGTAGGGACAAGGTTTCACCATGTTGGCCAGGCTGGTCTCGAATTCCTGCCTTGGCCTCCCAAAATGCTGGGATTATAGGTGTGAGCCACTGCACCCGGCCAGATCTGTTTTTATAGAGGGGCTAATGTTTTTTGTTCACAGACAGTGATTCCTGTAAAAGCTAAATTAAGGCTGGAAAGCAAAGGAAGGCTGGGCACAATCCTACACACCAGAGCCCTTCCCACAAGAGACCTTGGCTGACTCTTACCTCCTGACTTGGGTGCCAAACCACATGCTTGACATCCTGTGTGTGGGAGTTGAGAACACTGACACATTCATACTCATCCTCTTCATCAACTGTGGGACAGAAAAAGAAGGGAACCCAAGAGCCGACCCTGTCAGGGACACAGAAGGGGCTGTCAGGTGGTTCCCAATCCACCTGGAGGGACCTGGACTCACCTTCCCAGACCCAAACACTCTTATCTCGGCTGCAAGTGGCCAGAAGGTTGCCAGATGGGGCCCAAGCCACTGACTTTACCTCATTTTCATGGCCCTCAAGAGTGGTTACACACTGTGAAGGGGGAAGGAAAATAAAAATTAACAGCAGCTAACTCCCCTGAGGCCCTTCCCATGGGTTCAGCCCAACTGGCGCAGGTTGGCTCAGGTTCCTGAACCAGCCCTGGGGAGCAAACAGGCAATAATTCTGGTCCCAACCAGCCTGGGTACCTCAAAGTCATCCTGGTTCTTCTTCCAAATGCAAGTGGTAGCATCAAAGCTGGCAGAGGCCAGGTAATTACCGCAGGGGGACCAGGCCACCTTCCGCACGGTGCGCTGGTGGCCTTCAGAAATGACAGACTTGCAGATCCAGCTGTCACCTAAAGGTGGAGCGCAGGCCAGGCTCTGGAGCTGGGTGCAGCACCATGAAACTATTCGATATTGGGGGGGCTAGCTAGCATTGGAGTCAGGCTAGTGGGGGAAAGCTCAGGGGGTGTATTTCACAGATTTTACAAAGATGCAACTGACTCTACTTCCTCTTCCTCTGGAGGTCTTTCCCTTTTTTTTTTTTTTTTTTTTTTGCTCTGATGCCCAGGCTGGAGTTCAATGGTACGATCTCAGCTCACTGTAACCTCCGCCTCCTGGGTTCATGGGAATGTCCTGCCTCAGCCTCTCGAGTAGGTGGGATTACAGGTGCCCGCCACCACGCCTGGCTAATTTTGCATTTTGAGACAGGATTTCATCATGTTAGCCAGGCTGGTCTTGAACTCTTGACCTCAGGTGATCCACCCGCCTTGGCCTCCCAAAGTGCTAGGATTACAGGCGTGTGCGCCCAGCCTCTGGAGGCATCTTTCTAAAACAAATCTGATCTAAAATTGCCATTGGTTCCCCAATGCCCTCGGTATGAAATTTGAACATCCAGTCTCAAGTTACTCTGCAGGCCACTTTCCTAACACCTTTCTCTTCCCATTTTCCTGCTTCAGCAGCTACAATTCCCTCTGCATTTCAGCTTGTCTGCTGACGTTTTTACTCCCAGTAGTTGCAGACTTCTTTGCCTGTAAAGCCCTTCTCTGGGCGGCTAACATCCGACTCTCCCTGTCAGGAACAGGGTCAGCCTCCCGGGCAGGCTGCGCGCCCGCACTACGCGCAGGCGGAGCCCTCAGCGCCGAGGGCCGCGCAGCCAGGCTAGGCCTTACCCTCCGTGCCCCAGATGCGGATTCTCCGGTCGCCGCCGCACGAGGCCAGCAGGGTCCCCGCGGGGTTCCAGGCCAGGAACCAGCAGCGGGAGTCCGGGTGCGCCGGGACACGGCCCAGCAGCACCAGCGAGTCCTTCATGGCAGCCCGACGCAGGGAGAAGTGGGGGCGGTCAGAGTCAGCTGCGCAGACAGCAGGTCTCAAGCGGCGCGCCGCCCCACTCTAGGTTTCTGCGGCCGCCAGAGGCTCCCGCTTCCGCCGGAGGACCAGGGTCGCCCAGGGAACTCAGGTGCCTACTGCTGCGGCCGCGTGGCCCTCTGGGAGTTGTAGTCGCTTCCCTCACCTCCGTGGGGAAACCATCACAGGACGCCTTGAACTACCAGTCCCGTGAGGCCCTGCGGAGAGCCGGCGGCGCGCCCAGGCTGTGACGCGAACAGGGGACGGGGCGGGCAGCCGAAGGAGGCGGAGGCAGAGGAGGAGGAAGCCGGAAGTGCATCGGACCCGGGTCTGTCCGGGCGTTGCGGGATTGGGGCCTGGGAACACTCGGCCCCCGGCAGCCGAGAAGCCCGGGACTGGGCTGAGCGGCGCGATCCCAGCCCTGAGGCCTGCTGACTGGTGAGGAACAAAGGGCGGCGTGGGAAGGGTCTTTTCTCCGCACAGGTCGCACCCCAAACCGCCGGTCTCATATCACCGGTCACCGAACCCCGCGGCCCAGCCCGGTCTGCCGCCCCTCGACACCCTCTGGCGGAGACCCTGAGTGCGGGTCTTTCCTCCAGCAGAAGCGGATCCCCTATCCCTCCACCCCCCACCCAAGTCTACCCAAACCCCACCTGGCCTCTGGCCCTTTCCGGTTGTCTCCCCGCAGTCCCATTTCGGAGTCTCCTGTCACCGCCCCCCGAATCCCCGCAGCCCTCCCCGTCTCCGTCAGCCCTGGGTCCCACCCCCCCCATCCTCTGGTGTCAACCCTGACAGCCCAGCGCCGGCCTCACCTGCAGCGTACCCGGAGCGTTGCTCTCCTCCACCGAACTGTGAGGCTCTGCGCGCCCCGCCGAGGTCGGCGGCAACCAGCAGCGACTGCGGAGCGACGGCGGGCGGCCCCGGGCATGTACGCCCCCGGAGGCGCAGGGCTGCCCGGCGGGCGCCGGCGGAGGAGCCCGGGAGGCAGCGCTCTGCCCAAGCAGCCGGAGCGTAGCCTGGCCTCGGCCCTGCCTGGCGCCCTGTCCATCACGGCGCTGTGCACTGCCCTCGCCGAGCCCGCCTGGTTGCACATCCACGGAGGCACCTGTTCCCGCCAGGAGCTGGGGGTCTCCGACGTGTTGGGCTATGTGCACCCGGACCTGCTGAAAGGTGAGGGTGCTGCGCACTGGCCCTTCAGGCCTCGGCGGGGGGCAGAGTGTGGTTCCCGCTGAAGCAAAGATAGCCAGGGACCAGACACTTGGTTGAAGGAAACGGCCCCACTCCTGCCTGGCGTTCCTGCCCACCAGGTGGCTCTGTTTGGGGTCCGGCCCCTCATTAATTCTGATGTTATTCAGCTAAGCACCTACTTCTCACAGCCATGTTAATCCTGACTGCTGCTATTTTAGGATTCTGCTGGAGGAAGGATGCTGTGTATCAAGAAAAGATAAGGGTGCTAGGTATCACAGTTAGCTGGCCCCTTCTAAAAGGGACCTGTGGGATATGGGAAACCTTCTTTGAGGCAGGCTGATTAATGGAGAAAAAGTAACTTTTAATATGAGTGGGTTTTAAAAGATGTTTTAGAGTTCTATATAATTGGTTGTGTATTAGAGAAGAAGGGGATCTGTGGCATTTTAGGTAATCAGAAAACTGTTCCATTGCCACCCTCAGTACAACAGTTGGAATTTGGCTCTTGGAACCATTACAAGTGTGCCTGACAGAGGCAAGGTTGCTTTGTTCATTATCATACTTTCCAGCCAGACAGACAACAGACTATAGGAGGGTCCTAGGGGCCCCCATAGTTCATCCTGCCCAGTATCATGCCCAGTAAAAACTAATGTGAGGACAGGACTGTACTCTTAACACCTGCTTTTTACCCTAGCAATAATCAATGGACCCCAAAGAGTCCTTAGAACAGCATAGTTCATCAACCCCAAGGTCTTTTGAACCATTTTGAAGGTCTTATATCCTCTCTGTGCTATTCCCTGGCTGTTATGCATTCTGAACCAGTTTACTGAGCCGCCTATCAGAAGCACTTGTTAGATATCTGCATGTTACCTCCTGAAGGATTCAGGCGCTGGGATTTGGTGAAAAGGTCCAAGTTCCTGTCTGTGCATTGGACCATACTGTGTTTCTGCAGGTCTAGGCTGAAAAGCATCATCCTTGTGGCCAACTGTTGTCTTTCTCTGAGTGTTTTCTTACTGTTTTACATCTCTCTTGCGTTTTAGAGGCTGTAGGATGATTTTGTAGAAGGGTGGGGGCTTCTGGTTGATTCTAGATTTTGCCTTAATGATACTCTTTGCTGGGTTGGCTCATTAAAGCCAAAGTTATGCACATGACAGAGGCCTTGTGATATGCAGCCTTTTCTCTGTCATGTTGCTGATCACACAAAGAGCATTAAGCTTGAGTGAGTCTTAGTGGTTTTTCTTTTAGCTCATTGCCCTGCACTTGCTTTCTTTGAAGCACACATACCACCTTCCCACCACTAGACCCATCAGATCTAGAAAACTAGATCTCGCCGGGCGCGGTGGCTCAAGCCTGTAATCCCAGCACTTTGGGAGGCCGAGGCGGGTGGATCACGAGGTCGAGAGATCGAGACCATCCTGGTCAACATGGTGAAACCCCGTCTCTACTAAAAGTGCAAAAAATTAGCTGGGCATGGTGGCACATGCCTGTAATCCCAGCTACTCAGGAGGCTGAGGCAGGAGAATTGCCTGAACCCAGGAGGCGGAGGTTGCGGTGAGCCGAGATCGCGCCATTGCACTCCAGCCTGGGTAACAAGGGCGAAACTCCGTCTCAAAAAAAAAAAAAAAAAAAAAAAAAAAAAGAAAACTAGATCTCTGAAATCCAGCACGACATAGGGTGTGCTTAGCTGTGGCTCAAAAAATATATGATCTCCCCAAGGCTACCCAATTGGGGGTGGCAGAGCTGGGGCTACCCCACATCTGTTGATGCCAATGTAAGATGATGCTATCTCATTTATGGTTTTTATCCTTTGTTTTACTTCAGCTGTCATAGGAACAATCTCATAATTATTTCACTTTGGTGGGTATCCTTGTTGAAGGCATGTTAAAAATAAAAGTAGGGCTGGGCGCAGTGGCTCACGCCTGTAATCCCACCACTTTGGGGAGCCAAGGCAGGCAGATCACCTGGGGTCAGGAGTTTGAGACCAGCCTGACCAACATGGAGAAACCCCATCTCTACTAAAAATACATAATTAGCCAGGCATGGTGGTGCATTCCTGTAATCCCAGCTACTCGGGAGGCTGAGGCAAAAGAATCACTTGAACTGGGTGGTGGAGGTTGCAGTGAGTCGAGACTGCGCCATTGCACTCCAGCCTGGGCAACAAGAGTGAAACTCTGTCTCAAAAAATAAATAAATAAAAGTAAATTTTTGAGCCGGGCATGGTGGTGGGCACCTATAATCCCAGCTGCTCAGGAGGTTGAGGCAGGAGAATTGCTTAAACCTGGGAGGTGGAGGTTGCAGTGAGCCGGGATTGCACCACTGCACTCCAGCCTGGGCAACAAGAATGAAATTCTGTCTCAAAGGAAAAAGTAAATTTTTGGTGCAGCTCTTTGTTTACATGTGTATTTACCCTTTCCAAGAAATTATTCAGGCCAGGCCAGGTGCTTGGGAGTGACTCATGCCTGTAATCCCAGTACTTTGGGAGGCCGAGGCAGGCGGATCACCTAAGGTCAGGTGTTCAAGATCAGCCTGGCCAACATGGTAAAACCCCATCTCAACTAAAAATACAAAAATTAGCCAGGCCTGGTGGCTGGTGCCTGGAATCTCAGCTACTCAGGAGGCTGAGGCAGGAGAATCGCTTGAACCCAGGAAGTGAGGTTGCAGTGAGCCCAGATCATACTACTGCACTCCAGCCTGGGTGACAGCGTGAGACTCCATCTCAAAAAAAAAAAAAAAAAAACAACAAAAAATAAAATTCTTCAGGCTCCATTTTATCTTTTGCAGAGCATGTTTTCTTAACCTTTACATTATATTTGCTCACATATTTAGAGATCTTAACCCATGTATATAGTTTCTGCTTGCTTGCCTGTGGCCATCTCCTAGGAACACCTTGTGCCCATTAGTAGGAGTGTTGTCAGTGGTGCCTCATGAGCTGTTGTAGAAGAATTAGTGAGGAATCCGGAGGTCCCTGATTGTGTCTTCTCTCCTTTTTATTTGTGTTTGTTGGTACCCAGTGGGCCTTCAGACAGGTAGTATCCTGTATGACTGTCGTGATTCTCAGGGCCTAACAGATGTCCTGACCTGGGAGCCTGGAGTATTCCAAATCTCAAGAGGGAGCAGAGCCGTCAAACACAGATGTGGTGCATATAGATTTTTTTTTTTTTTTTTTTGAGATGGAGTCTTTGTTGCCAGGCTGTCACCATCTCGGCTCACTGCAACCTCTGCCTCCCAGGTTCAAGCGAGTCTCCTGTCTCAGCCTCCTGAATAGCTAGGACTACAGGTGCCACCACACCTGGCTAATTTTTGTAGTTTAGTAGAGATGAGGTTTTGCCACGTTGACCATGCTGGTCTCGAACTCCTGACCTCAAGTAATCCACCCTCCTTGGCCTCCTAAAGTGCTGAGATTACAGGCATGAGCCACCGCTCCTGGCTGCGTATTGATATTTCCAGAGGGAGAACAGACCCTGCCAGGTCTCTCCAGGTGATGGGAGTTGGGCAGCCAGCAGGCCCTGGAGCAGCCTTACCATTTCTCAGCCCCTGCCCAAGTGCCACACTTGGGCATTATGCTAATCACACCCCATGCCTGCTTTTTTCCTCCTAAACAGCACCTTTATTTGGTAGGTACTATCATCAGCCCCACTTCACAAAGGTCCCAGCTCAAGGAGGCTAGTTAGTTTGCTCAGCTAATCTGAATGGACATTGACTCCAAGGTCTATACTCTTACCACAACACCTTAGTGAGCTCCAGTTTATTTCCCATCAAAGCTACTCAAGGCTTATCACTTTCCTATTCTAATTGAGTTTTATCACAAGCCCAGCCAAAGCTGTGCTTTTTATCATAACTTCATCACCTCAGTGTCAGGGCTCTCTAGTTGGTGATCCCAGGGCAAAGCCACTCTCCCATTGTCATTCACAAAGCTTCAGAGGCTTTAGCCAATGAAACCTGGCTCCAAAGATCCCATCCTGGGCTGGGCATGGTGGCTCACTTCTATAATCTCAGCTCTTGGGGAGGCCAGGAGGATCACTTGAGCCTGAGAATTTGAGGCTGCAGTGAACTATCATCATGCCTCTGCACTCCAGCCTGGGTACAGAGTGAGACCCTTTCTCTAAAAAAAAAAGAAGACCCCGGCCGGGCGCGGTGGCTCAAGCCTGTAATCCCAGCACTTTGGGAGGCCGAGGCGGGTGGATCACAAGGTCAAGAGATCGAGACCATCCTGGTCAACATGGTAAAACCCCGTCTCTACTAAAAATACAAAAAAGTAGCTGGGCATGGTGGCATATGCCTGTAATCCAAGCTACTCAGGAGGCTGAGGCAGGAGAATTGCCTGAACCCAGGAGGCGGAGGTTGCGGTGAGCCGAGATCGCGCCATTGCACTCCAGCCTGGGTAACAAGAGCGAAACTCCGTCTCAAAAAAAAAAAAAAAAAAAGAAGACCCCATCCTGGATTTTCTCCACTGCCCCTGCAAGTGGTGCCTGCTTCTCACGCAGCTCTCAACCTGGCCCTTGGTGGAGATAGACTCAGACCTCTAGTGGCCCCAGAAAGAGGGGCCTCAGATAGTCATTTCTTCTGAGCCTTTCTGCCTCTCAAGTGTGGCCAGCAAAGGGCATTGGCAACAGCCCCAGGAAGCATCTTTGGAGAATGAGGAAGCTGGGGAGAGGAAGTTGGGAGAATCACAATTGACAGCAGCCACTGGAAGATCAAGGGCCTTCCAGGGAGAGCCTATGTGCCTGACAGGTGGTGACTGGGGCAAATAACACTGCCAGGTTCTGCGGGGCCTGTTGGTATCTGTGGGATGACCCGGCTAGGCACTAGAGGGCTCTGTTAGAGGCCTGTGTCACAGGCCCATCTGAAAGCTAAAAAAGTCACGGTGGGGAGAGGCTGAGCAGGTTGCACAGCTGCTAAGAGGGACTGGGGCAGTGGGAAAGTATCTCTAATTCACAGGGACTCCAGCAAGGAGGGACGGGGGTAGGACAGAAGTCCCTTTAGCC